TCACAACGAGCCGGGTTGGCCACCTGTCACAACAGCCTCGCTATGCGAAGACTCCTTTGCAGCGTCCGAAAGAAAGATGTATGTATGTATGTATGTATGTATGTATGTATGTATGTACGTATGTGTGTGTGTTTTGCAGTTCTTCGGTTGTGTTCTGTTATGCTGCGTTATGTTACGCTGTTATACTGTATCATATCATTCTATATTGTATGGTGTGGTGTGTATTGTTGTGTGTTGTATTGCTGCCCATTGTCTTGTGTTTTGTTGAAATATATGCATATGCACATGCAAAAATGTATGTACATATGTGTGTGTACACACTTACATGTGTAACTGCACTGGCATGCAGGTGTACATGTGCTGATGCTCAGGCTTGGTGAGACCTTGATCTCCCAGTGCGCAAAAGCTGGTCGGAGACCTGAGGAACCTTGCAAGACCCAGTCGTCCACCAGATCGCAAGCCGAATTCCCTTGCCAAGGGTTTTCTTTGTGGTGCTGAGATACTTAGAGTTCCTTGCCAGGCAGTGCCAGCATAGTCAATGCCAAAATTCATGTGAATGGAACGTGCTGCGTTGCCAAGGTCAGTGGGAGCTGGTTGAGGCACAGACTGACATCTCCTCAATGCTCTGCAATGCTCTCGTATCTTAGATGGAAACACCAAGACGTCCGAGACGTCTTCCAGCATCTTCCAACGGTTCGCGGTCTCAGAGGGCTTTTGCGCAGGTGCTCGTCGAAAATGGCCAGTGCCTGAGAGGCGGTTGCACAGCGTCCACGTTCCAGGAGCATCGATTTCGCGTAGGGGCTGAATCCACCTGCCAAGGCGTGCCCCTGCCAGACCTCAGCCGCGAGTTTAGCCAGGTTTGTGGCCCATCGGCTTGGGGCCCCAGGGATGGTGATGCATGCCGCCCGATGCTGGCCACAGGCACACATCCCCGCTCAGGTGCCCTGTCAAAGGCAATGGCACAAAGACTGGCGGCAGGCACTAGGCCAGTCGGCGAAGTGCTGAGAAATAAGGCGTGAGCAGAGATTTGATCAGGCACGCAGGGCCCAACACCAATTCTCGAGCTAGCAGCAGCCAGCAAGGACTGCCTGGGAGTTAAACCAAATCAGGTGGGCCACAACCCGGGGCAAAAGGACGTTTGCTTTTCGGGCATGAGTCGGCATGAGCATGAGTACCGTGAGTTTCCAACCTTAGGGCAGCTAGCCGAGATCAATGGTTCTGGAGTATGCTGCGATTGTGCATGGCCGGGCAAATCAAGTCGCCAATGCTGATTCACGTAGTTGTTCATCATTGTAGTCATTCTTTACAGATCCGGGATCAGCAGTGGTTTTGTGAGCAGTGTGGCAGACAGAGACCTGCTCATCACCCAGCCATCTTGGGTAGATGTGTTGCAGCTCTGACCTGCACCTGCAGGATGGACCCAGAGTTCTGGAGGGTCTGTCGAGGACTCGGACTCACGATAAGCACAACAACTGTCACTATACTGACAAAAGGTTTGAAGGATGTTGGATGTCTACCGCATGTGGTGCTTGTCATGGACATCTGTGACAAGTCTTCATCCTGCCCCGAGGCTGCAGCGGGTATTCGCCTTACACGTTTTGCTGCACTTGGAAAGATGGTCACCTTGTCCGTTGTTGGCATTGGCCCAGGCATCAGACAAGCATGGAGAGAAAGGCTCGGATGCAAGACAATTCACGCATTTTATCGGCGTTTATACCCCCCCGTTTCAGGGTCGTAATTCCTAAACATCTTGTGGTGAGCGTGAAGGCTGCACGGGGCCTCTCCGCCTGCCGGACTTGCTGGGAGGCGGAGCGTTCGTTTTAGATCCTCCCCAGTCTCCTTTGCTTCTCTGCCGCCTTTTCCCGGTGTCCCTTTGTGCCTCAAACTTGGAGGCCTTGGAGGGCGCCCTCAGCCGCTGCTTCTCCGCGCAGCGGAGGTATCATGTCGCACGTCCCCTGCACCAACTTTTGGAAGTCTATGTCTATGTCATTGATGTGGTAGTTTGGGATTGGCATTGGGCACCTGCTGATCAGGCGAAGCGCCGCGGCCTTTGGTAAGCACATGGTATGGAATGCAGATCACAGTGCCAGGTGACCTGTGCATGTTCTGCGAAATGCCGATGAATCACCAGCCAATAGTTCTGCGTCACAAAGGCTGGAACGTGGTGCACGTTCTCCTGGCGAGCTCAGGCGCAGTTCTGAGAGAGTCTGTGACAGCATAACTAGAGCATGGTTGCCTTACAGGGAAGGGTACGGCAAGTTGTGCTGTATGAACCGCTTCCTGCACAGTGCCTGTGGCTGCCGCGACGCTGCTGTCTTCGCCGCATGCGGCGACTTGCCCGACGGCCCTGGTACGAGACCCCAGAACATGCTTTGATTGTGTTTGCAAGAAGCCTTCCGTGCGAGCGTAGGAAGCCAATTGCTGCAAGATGAGGTTCACCTTGCCGAAGAAAGGGCTCTGGAGGTACGCTGGTCAGGTCTGACCTCTCCCGCATCGAACGCAATTTTTCTGGCTAAGGAGGCTTCCCCTCTCTCTGCTGCGACTGGCAGTCCAGAGGTCTGCTTGGTGAGATCTCGAGAGACCGGTGTTCGTGTTGCCGTCGCAGAGTTGCTGGGCAGGAAGATCAGCTTGCCCTCTTCTTCCGGCGTCGGCATGCGAGTGTAGTGCGGGGCTGAGCAAGGCATCCAAATAGGTATCCTGTGATATCCTGTGTAGCCAGGCAAGAGAGGGACGCATCAGTTGATGTCTTAATATTTAATTAGTAATTAGCTGGGATTCACTCGACGGCAAGGTTGTTTCAATCAGCACCCGACCTGGTCATAACCACCTCCTACCCAGCTTTTGGGGACATCATGCCTTTTCCTGAAATCTGCCTGAGGGCCCTCAAGGTTCCGGGATGTTCAGGGGTACAGTGCCAGGTTCTTCTGAACGAGAAGGTGCCGGGATACCAGTCGCAAGCTTCAGGCCGGTGGATGAACGGCCTTCTCGTGACTCCTTGTCGGAATTCTTACTATGGTCTTTTCCAAGCTCCCATTGCCAATATTAATGTCATTCATATCTGCTTCAGATCATATTGAAGAAGCCTCTCTGCATGGTCTCGCGCTGCTGAATGATTGCCTCGTTTGGGCCGGTGTCGAAGCTGCGAGATGGTGCGATGCCCCAAAGCATTGAACCCAATGCCTCAGGCTCAGGTGGCATTTACTTGGAGAAGGCCTTGGCAGTGGTTGGACAGAATAAAGCCGATCGTGCCTAGCCTAGCTCTGCCGCTCCTCTGGACATGTCGGTTTTCAGTGCCAGGCAGATGGACAAATCCGTGTTCGTCACTCGGGATTTAGCATCTGTGGCATTTTCGCCTTGCTTCCACACAGTGTTGTGCAGTGCCACCAAAACCCGATGCGAGGTATGGCATGAACTGCTGCACATTGGGATGTCGGGAGGCCGGCCAGACGACTGTATAGACTACACTATACTATAGACTTGTGGTTCTGGCCCTGGCTTGCTGCAACACTACTGACACAGCAATCTCTGTCTTTCTGTGATCCCTTATGGCTGGCAGTGGTGACCAAAAGTAGCTGCAGAAAGGAAGAAGATCTGCTTAGTCTTTCTTTTCTTCAGTTTCACTTCAGTGCGGGCCAATTTCGCCTGCAGGGCAGAGCCAGTCCTCTGAAGTGGCCTTCGTGAAGCTGCAAGATGGTGAGCAGGAGTCCTGTCATGTGCTTGCACAGGAGATCAGAGGGTGTCATGCCATGCGGCAAGAAAGAGCAGATTTCAACCAGGCTATGTTTCTGTTGACTTGGGGCTGAGGTGGGAAGAGCTCCTTTCAATCGAGAAGGCAGCTCTGTTTGGGGCCTGGTCTCGTGCGCTTAGTCTTTCCTGTGCACGTAAGCCCCTTGACTCCACTCTGAAGCACTGAAGCACGAGGGACGTGACGACCTGATATGACCCCCCGGCCTGAAACTTCCCGTAGCACGGCCACACTCTCACATCCGTCCCAGGTCGCTGAGCCTCTCCAGTCGCGTCCACAGCGAGGGAAAGCAGATCTGTGTCTTCGTGTCCGCTGGGCTTTGGGATTCCCTCAGTGCAAGGGATGACGTTGCAGAGAGCTTGCCCCCCCAAACATCCTCAAGCAAAGTCTCAGACCTTTACCGGGCGCACTGGCATGGCTTCTCCGTAAAGGCCGGACGGCAGCCAAAACGCCTGATGCCAAGGCTTGTGAAGCCTCGGGTTTGCTGGATCTGTTTGCAGTTGTTGTCCTTCTGGCCAAGCATCGCATGCACGTGCCAGTGGGCGGCATGCTCCACTTTGCAACGATGTCACTTGAGACCGGATTCTAGGGAGTAGCCGTTGCTCAGCTTCTTACGCGGGACTCAAAGTGTAAGCGCCAGCAATCGCAGGTGGGCGCCTGCTGGCTGGCAGTGTTGTGCCCCGCGAGCTACCTTCAGGCACACTGTAGCAGTCTCTGCTGAGCCCCGTCTGGACAGCAATCCTGGCAAATCCTGGCAATTAACCCGCGGTAAAGGTTCACTGCGCCTGGTCGGGCACGATTGCTTTTCCTCTGTGGAGTGGCAACTGACAACTGACAACGCCGCTTTAGTCCCGAAGCGTGCAGGCTTCGAAAGAGGGTCTTCTGCTGGCCTGCTGCTCAGACTGCGCATGCCGTATGTTTCATCCACGCAGGTTTGTACTTGCTAACGTGCAAGTTGCTGTGCAGGTGCCACCTCAACGGATCCCCACCCCTTGCTGCGTGCAGAGCGTCAAGCTGTGCCCGGAGCCCCTGTTGTACAATTTTGTGTCAGCAGGCTGGTTGCTGCATGGTGCCTCATTGTGTAGCGCCAACTGCTGGTTGCTCGATGGTTTGCATATGTCTGCGCATCGTAGAACGATCTAGGGCAGGGAGTGCTTTCCGAAGCAGTCGTACTGTGGGCCAGGCTGCAGGACATTCGAGCATGTCGGATAAGCTGACTCGAAAGTTGTGCTATCGCGCGACTGAACGAGGTGTTAGCACACAGTCTGCATGCTGCAAAGAGCCAATGAAGGCGGCACTGCGGGAGCATGGGCAGAGAATAGCAAGTTAGATGTGTCATTGACAGGATGTGCCAGTCTACCTGGATGGGCAGTGCATCGGGAGAAGCAACGAAGACGGATTGGTCGTCTACCTGCCGCAATTGCGCTTGGCTTGGCTTGGTGATTAGCTGATTAGCATGGTCTCGAGAACTGCCGACCTTGCTGCAGAGTCGGCTTGTCGCAACAGTTGATTCTTTCTTGGGAATGCCAGGAAGTCTTCGCCAAGCCCGGCCGTCGCACGTTGACGCCCGAGAAGTGAGTGCCGAGAAGCAAGGGAACCCGACAGGGTTCTGTCGAGGCTCCAGTCACCGTGTGCCGGGGCTGAAGCAGTGGAGGTCACGCTGACAGGTGAAGGCGGGGGTTGAGCGGAGCTTGTTTGCCAGGCTGCTGTATGCCGCCGCAGTGCGTTGCTTGCATGGAAACGACACAGTGGCTGCCAGGTAAACCAGGTAAACACGATGAGCAGCACGTCGTGCTGCTTTGCGGTGGGAGTGTTTACTTCTTTCTGCAGGCCAGTCCATCGAGTCAGAGTTGCGCAGTCAGGATTCTCGCACATCGCTCAGGCTCAAGACTCAAGTTCAGAATGGAAGTTGAAGCCCGGAGCTTGGAGATTCAAGAGCTCGTGGGGAGTTTCCTCAGACCATGCCGTTCCGATGCCCTGGACCATAAGGATGACCACCGATCTGAAGCAGATTCCGTCGGCCCGACCGTAGAATGGCTGTGCCATGCTGTGCCGTTGTGTTAGATGCTTCCGACTCGTTTTCAGCTGCCACGGAGTCAGGATGCCTCGGACTTTCGGGGCAAGGTCTGCTTCGACGATGATCATCCCTTCCAGGCATTCCTGCCCAGCCCCTCTAGATGCAAACTGGCTCAAGACGAGCTGAGTCTGATTACAGGTCATCCGATCCTGCTTCCATCCGCTCATCGTGCCTGGCGGAGAGCCATGTGCTGGACTTACGAAGAAAGCAGTGCCTACTTTCGGAGCATCCCCGCCCTGATCCAGGTCCCGCACTGTTTCACTCCTTGCGTCCAGAGGCGCTCAGCGGCGCGTGGGGGTCCAAGACTGACCGAAAAGACTGGCTGCTTTGACCGCGCAGTGCACAGGAGGTTCGAGTTCAGCGAGGAGGGGCGATCCCGGCTCGCGGGTGACAAGTGCAAGGCCTGTTTCGCTTTGAAGCTTCTTTTTTGACGGGCTGAGGCGAGGGTTTCTTTCTCTCTCTCTCTCTCT